AAAAGCAAAACTCAAATATGAAGTATACATTATATATATATATTATTTAAACACTATCAGAAAAATTCCAAAAAAAAAAAGTTAGTGAGATGGAAAAATACTCCCTGTCAGTTTGGTGTTGATGAATGATGACAAACTGCTTTGTTACAGTTGCAAAATCGTAAGCCTTTGTTAAGTTTGTCAACTTTTCATACTTTACTATTTACAGTTTTGGTTATAAAGTTCAGTTTCCTCTGTGTGGTAATGCTAAGAATTAAAAAAAAAAAGGAACGTTAGACGTCTTAAGGATGTGTTTAATAACATTCGGGGCTATTATGGTATGTTTAATTGTAGGCTGAGGGTTGACATCTTGTACCCACCAAACCATACTGTACATTTGGGGGCTATGGGTGCATTATAAGCATAACAGTCAAATCCCACTAGCCCAAGAGTTGGGTGCTGTGAACTAGCTGCCTTCTATTCATTCTATAAGTTAAAAATTAGGTGCAGCTAGTACAGAGAGAGAGATAGCCCTTGCATGCATATCCAAAACAAACAAACTTTATTCTGTACTTAATCATCTAAACATTTGATTCAATATTGTGGGTCTTTCTGGTCTCTGGTAATTTTATTGGTCTTGTTTTCACAGTCCAGGAGAAATACTTATTTAATACAATTAGAATGTGCTCCTCAAACAGTAAGAAGTCTAGATCCTGAATTGTGTTATGGGCTACTTTTGCCCTTAAGGCATATATTTCTTATGTATGTACCTTACTGTATAGATTGGAGGTATCATATTTACCATTATGTACTTAGTTTTCTGTGGAAAGTCTTGAATAATACGTCATTCTGTGATCACGGGATGCAAAGAAAAAACCGTTGATTAAATTCTAAGTTTTCGCAAGTGATGCTTGGAAGCGAATCATTAAATATCTTGTGTGGTTGTTATTGATACTATGTAATAATAACGTCTATGGAACTGGACTTTTATTTAAACACATGTACAACTTGCTTTAGAATTATATCTAAAGAATTAGTTATTAAGAAATTAGGTTACCGTGACTGGTTCCTTCTATTTTTATATATTTTTGTGTGTAAAAAAATATAACACATCATCATCAATGGAAAAAGTATGTTCAAAAAATTGGAAAAATAGTTATCTTTTGCTTTCGTATGCTGTAATTACCTTTATTTTTCTATTGTGTGTAAAATATTTCTAGTTTGAAGTAGTTATGGGTATATTTACATGCTTGCGTGAGAAAGGGGTAAATTAGAATTTCTCTAAATATTTCCAAAAAGAATTATTAATATTTCAGTTCATGATGTTAACTTCTAGAGTTACTTGTGTCTAATAACTACAAACTTCATTAAAGAAGCTGTAAAACTGTGATTAAACACATACATTGTTTAGATATTGACATGATTTGATATCAGCTTTAAGGTTGTACCGCTGTCTATTATTGTCTCTGTTTCCGTTTACAGTTTTGTTGTCTAATATTGTCTCTGTTTCCGTTTACAGTTTTGTTGTCTAATATTGTTTAAGTGTCTGTTTACAGTTTTTCTGTCTAATATTGTTTAAGTGTCTGTTTACAGTTTTTCTGTCTAATATTGTTTATGTGTCTGTTTACAGTTTTGTTGTCTAATATTGTTTATGTGTCTGTTTACAGTTTTGTTGTCTAATTTTGTCTTTGTGTCCATTTACAGTTTTGCTGTCTAATATTGTTTGTGTCTGTTTACAATTTTGCTGTCTAATATTGTCTCTGTGTCTGTTTACAGTTTTATTGTCTAATATTGTCTCTGTTTAAAGTTTTACTGTCTAATATTGTTTATGTGTCTGTTTACAGTTTTGTTGTCTAATATTGTTTATGTGTCTGTTTACAGTTTTGCTGTCTGATTTTGTCTCTGTGTCCATTTACAGTTTTGTTGTCTAATATTGTTTATGTGTCTGTTTACAGTTTTTCTGTCTAATATTGTCTCTGTGTCTGTTTACAGTTTACTTCTTTGATAAATATTGAAAGACACTAAACTACTACTGTGCGTTTTACTAAACTATTTTTCACATGTTTGAGCAATGTTTTATAGTATTTAGAATTTATTACTTTTTGTACTGTTCGGATAAAATCTTTACTGTGTTATTCATATCCAAATAACTTCTGCCATGTAGTGTTTAATATTACATAACTTATTACTTTATATATATGCAACAGTACAATTAATATATATGTAAGTATACATAGATGTCAGGGTGAAAAACGTTGACTCTAAAGTAAGTGAGATTACTAGAATGAAACATGGATTGTACTCGTGAGTAGTTTTATTCTTGTGTTGTTTAATAATATCATATGTTAGGAATGAAATTTTTTTAGCGTGCTACCATACTATCAATGATAATGCTAGTCTGATACCTTACTTCAAAAAGCCAGTAATGTTTACAGCATTTGTAGATTATGTAATGATTCAGAAATTCAAATTACAGATAACACTCTAAGGAGAATAGGCAGCAAGTTTTAAATTTTTTGTTCAGGAGATTTCATTCTTGAAACATTTTAAACTTTTCTAATTGTGATGTTCCTGCACGATTTAGGTATTGATGAGATTAATATCAGCTTTAAGGTTGTAACGCTGTATAATATTGTATGTGTCGATTTAAATTACTTTTTTGATAAATGTTAAAAGAGATACTAAATTATTGTGGATTTTTCTAAACTATTTTACATGTATTTGAGCAGTGTTTTATTATATTTGGATTGTTATTATTTATCTGTATTATTGCAAAGGAAAAATTATTCAGATAAAGTCTTTATTGTGGTATTGACATCCAAGTAAATTATTTTTCACTTCAAAAGTAACATTTGCTAGCAGTATGACAGAAAATCTGGTGTAATATACATTTCTGTGCTTTATTTTTTCTCTTAAAAAAGATACAAAAGGTTAAGAGAGAGGTATGTATTGTGAGGTTTCCACAGTGACTTCCTCGAGGAGTGGGGGTAGAAACAAGAAAAGGTCGTACAACAGAGTGACTGCCGTGATTCTATGCTTTATTTTTTCTCTTAAAAAGATACAAAAGGTTAAGAGAGAGGTATGTATTGTGAGGTTTCCACAGTGACTTCCTCGAGGAGTGGGGTAGAAACAAGAAAAGGTCGTACAACAGAGTGACTGCCGTGATTCTATGCTTTATTTTTTCTCTTAAAAAGATACAAAAGGTTAAGAGAGAGGTATGTATTGTGAGGTTTCCACAGTGACTTCCTCGAGGAGATGGGGTAGAAACAAGAAAAGGTCGTACAACAGAGTGACTGCCGTGAAAGAATGGTGGGATGTTTAAATAACAAATCTATGAAGTAAAAAAGTAAAGATGTACATGACATCAAAAACTCGAACATCTAAGTTGTTTTCCATAAGAGAAATAAATGCAATATTTTTTTTTTTATTTACATTTAAATAATTAATGTTTGGATGTCTGTGATAATGTAATTGTAGACCGTATTCAAACTGGCAACTTCAATAGTTTCCATGAGCTGCAAGTTTATCGATATTGGCTATAAGATCAGGTCATTAAGATTTTTACTGTTTTATAAAAGTAACCGAATTCACTAAAAGATGTCGTTTAAGTGATTATCCAGCAGAAATATTACAAAATTTACTTTGTGTTTTAGTTTTTAATTTTGGAAAGTGATGGAAGGCCCTAGTCAGTGGACTGGATTGTGCCTCCAGCCCCCCTCACCCTATTTATATTTTCAGGCTTTGGATTGACAGCGAAAAATCATACATTCTAAAGCAATCCTGTAAAGTTAAATAAATAAAATGTACAATAGAAGAATTACCTCAAAACCTAAATAAATAAAATAAAATAAATAAATAAATAAAAATTTGTTCAACACCGATCGCCTTTCACTTAATCGTCAAGCCACCATGGGAAACAGTGGTTCTCAATGTGTGGTCCACGGACTGGTCCAAAATGGAAGTCACATCTTCCCATTAATTCTGACCAGTTTCTTTCTTTCTTTCTTTTTTTTGCTTGCAGTGGTAGGCGAAAGCAGGTGGTCTAGCACTGGTAGGTGTTCAGTAGGTGTTACTTTGACACTATACGGTTTTATAATATTATTGGATTGGCTGTGGCTGTTTATTTGTTATACGAACTCAAATGTAAAACATGCTTTTCAAAATGTACAGCCTTCTAATGATAAACTGAAAGAAATATTCAGGGAGTAACAAAAAAGGGCTACGTAATAAAACATGGACTGTAGTCCCCCCCCCCCTTTCTATTGAACTTCTGTCAAGATGTTACAAATTTGTTTGAGAAATAAGTCAAGAGAAAATAAAGATATTTCAGCTATCCTGCCTTGACTAATGTTCTGAGGAACTGTTTTTAACTTTAATTGTGTATTGTTTGTTTGTTGAATTTTGTACAAAGCTTCGCAGTTGGTATCTGCATAGCCATCCCTAATTTTGAAGTGATAGACTAGAAGGAAGGCAACTAGTCAACATCACTCACCGTCAACGCTTGGGCAACACTTTTACTAACGAAAAATGGGATTGACTATCACATTGTAACATCCACGTGGCTGAAAGGACAAGTATATTTGGGAACGGGTTTTGATCCCTTAAATTGTGAGTTGAGCACCTTAACCACTAGGCCCTATTCGTATGTTACGTCATTATAATTTCTAGCTAGGTCTAAAGTGTTGCACTCGGACTATTTCAATAGGATTAAGCCGAAATTTTTTAACTTGCTCTCCATTTATCAGATTTGTAATACTTGCCATTGAGCAAATGTCATTATGAACTTTTATATAACCTTAATGGTCGTGTACTCCTGGGATATTAACACCATA